TCATTATGTTGGACATGGTTGACCGACTGACCCCCCAATCCCCCTTTTGCAGAATCTTAATTCATTTCACTTGTGTTTTCTAATCTCACGTTGTTCTCCGCGAAGCCCCAGGCGTAAATTAGTACTACTCATAATTGTTTCGATTCACGAACTTTTTCAGTCTTGATTTACAATGCTTGATTTTAAGAAATCTTTGCTTTTATTTTTCCTCCACCGTTTATATTGAGGTTTTCTCGAAATCACTTATAATTCGCTTTTATGTCCTCTTTCAATATTTTTTTTAAAACTTCCTGTTCTACCTCTTGTTTATCATTTCATCAATCTTAAAGTTCTAAATTAAGTTAATTATATATATTTTAATCGATTTTAAAATTAAAAAATCCCCGAACTCTCAGAGTATGGTAAAGTTTACCGTCTTTCTGGATATATGGGAACACTAAAAAACTCAGTAATATTTACCAAAGCGCTTTGGTAATGATTTTGATAAAATTAACTATAAAATATGGTTTTTGTGATAAAATTAGGAAAAATGTGGTAAAATTTGGTCTTTTTAACATGATACCTTAGATCATGGTATATGAACCGTTTAATCGATGAAATTTACTTTTCAGTTTTTGCGTATTTTACTAAATGTGGAGTAATAAGAATTACAGTTTTAAAAATCAAAATTTCCTATAAACCGTTACAATATGAACAGAAAAATTACCAAATGAATAGTTACCATATATTTTGATTTCTATTACCAGAATTATGTTATTTTTTCTTACCAGAAATGTCATTACCATGCAGCTCAGTTATTTTACCATTTTTTCCCCCGTGTAAATAAATATTTGTCATGAAAATAATTTTTAATTTTATAAATTTTGTAAGATTTTTTGTCAATTTCTTTATTTGCTTATAATCCATGCTTTTACGATAAAATGGATTTCTATTTCGTCTATCTTTGAAGTGTTAAATGTGCTTTATAAATTATAAATTTTAAGTAGAAATTCTGATAGGGAAAATGTATCAGAAGTATACAATCACAATTAAAAAGATATTGTCTTGATGAAGTTGTCATCCATCCGATTATTTGTGTACCATTCGAATGACTAAAAATGAAAATGCTGTAAAGATGATTATTTGTTAAATAAATATGATCTGAAATCTTAATTGTCAGTTGTAATCAGTTCGTAGATAAATTTATATCAGTTTGTATCTGTTTTTCAAAAGCTCGATTACCGCATAAAGTAACGTTTTTTAGCATTAAATATGTTATTTTTTATAACAGTTGTAAGTTAGTAACACTTATACTTGAAAAGTGCATTGTCTGGGCTCATAATAATTTTCAAAAATTGAGAATTCATTAATTTTATTGATTTTCATTTAGGTGGGAAAATGTCGCTAGACTAGTAGTTTTAAATAATTTTTTTTTAAATATTTAACCTATTTGTCCTGAGGTTTTTTTACGGTATGACAATACGCATTGTTTAAATTTATGCTTTAATTCGAGTTTTAAACACTTAAATTGTGATTTTTTGATTTTCATTGGCGAAAAAATTTCTAAAATCTCCTTCCAATTCAGAGTAAAAATTTTACAGCTTTCCAAAATCAGCGCTCTTATCCTTGATGGAAGGTTTCGCTTTTTTAACCCCACGCATTCCGATCCTCCCCGAGGGGCACAAGTATCACCTTTGATCCCTTTTGGGGGAGGAAACACCGTTTTGCTCTCTAGCGACCGTTGGAATTGTATGTATTTTTTTTTTCACTGCACGAACCCTCCTATGCGTTTTGCGGAGTAAAAAAGTGTAGGTATGCCCCTTGAAAAGGGGCCATCTGCTCCTCATCACATTTGCACAGCTCAGTGGCTTCCCTTTGCACCCCTCGCTGACAACAAGTCTGTATCAGCTTCTCTAATGGACCCTGTCGAGTGATACGCCAACCCCACTTGTGAATACAAAATAAAATAAAAAGGTCTGTGGGTTGTTTTCCAGACTTGACTTTATTACCATTGGGGGTTGATTGTTGGGTTTCTTTCAAGATTGATATTTCCGTTGGAGAAAAGGGAAAACGTCTTGGCTTGTAACAGAGATGTTTCCTTTCCTGTCACCAGTTTTAAATGTCTGCTGATTGCAGTTTTTTATATTTGTTTAACAATACATATCAAATATTTCAAACTGTTGTTGCTTACTTTTTGTTATCTTCTTGTTCATATGGAGATTGTATTTGATTATGATCCGGACGATCCTGGAAAAATTCAAACAGTCGTTGCGAAACTAAGATGTAAATTATTTTTTATTGTGTTTGACCACCGTAATTTATCATGGATACGAAATCTCATAATTTCAATTTTTAATTTAAAACTATTACAAAGAAATTTGTAGATTTTTTTTTATAACTGGCATCAGACTTTATTTCTTTTAAGGACCATTTGATCTCTGTTAATTGAAACTCTTCGTCTGTCAAACATCTGAGTGTTGTTTTGATTGCCTAATTTTAACTCTATAGCTGATTTTTGAATAAATAAATAAAAAACAAAAGAACGTTTATTGACAATTTGCTTTAAAAAAATTTGTACTTTATTTACGGAAATTTTTTTTATATCGAAGTCATTTGAAATTTATGTAAAGTAGTAATATATTTTGTCCCCTTCAATTATCTATTAAAACTATGACAATCGCTTAACTTTCTGTTGAGTGTGGTAATTTTATCAAGTTTATATTGATGTTTATATTTAAAAACTTATAATAGATTTTAGCTTTCTGATAGGTTTAGACTTTTTGTGTTGTTGAAACATTTAAAGAAAAATTATTAACTAACGCACTAAGTTTTCATTTCACTGGCGACGCATTCCATTACTTTTTCCTCTATCCTACAATAAGGTGGAATTATGAATTAATCGTTTTTTTTCTCTCGCCAGGTCAGTGTGGTTAATGACTGCTATTTTTATTTCTCAAAAGTAATAGGAGTGAATTATATGTTATTTCTATCTTCCTTCGATTTATCCATTCTTTGACATAGTAACTTAATATTATACTATTTCCCTTCTTCAAATCTGGTTGAATAGGAATGTCACCTCCGCTTTGTCATTCAACAGAAAGTAAAACTATTACCTATCATCATTTTATGATATAGATATACTTTACATTAAATTCCATCCAGTTTATGGCTCCAAATTGCTACAAAAATGATTCCTAGACGTGATCCGAAACTTGATATAAAAATGGTAAAAAAAAAATGATGGGGGAGGCGTCTCGTGCCCGACGCGAGGCCCATTGTTCGGAATGGGTTGTAGAAAAGATAACTCTTTTGTATGGACCATCGAAACTAAATGTTCCTAGTGTAGCATCTAAGACGTATTTAATTCCACACGCTCCGTCGACTACGACATCCGGTGTCCGAAATTTCGTCTTAGAAAATGCCGATTACGAGATAATCTTGGACGTTTTGTCTCTGAGACCATTGATTTTGTGAATGATGTTAAACTGCAATCGAAAGTTTAAATCTCTGATCTTAGCCTTCATTTACTGTTAAATGAGGGGTTTGCCGCGTGTCCTGCCGCACGCCATCATTTAAAGGGGTACTTGAGTGGCATTGATATACTTCTCACCTTGACACGCAGGCTATTATCCTTCCTTACGAAGTTTAGTTGTTTTCATGTACTGGAAAAGAATTAATTCAAGTCCTTACGTTATCTTTGTTGAACTGAGATCTTAGCTCATGTCACTGTACGTCCCTTTACCTAACACCGGATATTGTTGGCGAATTTCGTCACTTGACTTTTTTTTTTAAAAGTAAATCTTCTCATTCATAGATTTCTGATAGTAGTTTTTCTTTGGCAGCTTTAAAAAAGTTAGAATAGATAATTTGCTCGTCCATCCGTATCTGTGTCATTGTCCCTGTACTTGATTTTGAAATCATGGAACTTTTTTAATAAAAACTCTGCAAAATACTGAAAAATGTAAGCTACTTAAGGTTAGTTCATTTTAAGGATATAAGTTAGAATTGAGTAGGAAGCAAATGAGATATGTTTCTTGAAGTATTGGATATAAATATGGTGTTGTTTAGTAGAATTGCCTAAAATCTTATCGCTAATTTTAGCTAGTTACACAAATATTTGTTAATTGTGAAACGATAACAAAAAAACTTTGTTTAGCAGTATAAATTCGATATTTCGGGGCACATTCGCGAAAAAGAAAAAAAGAATAGTTACGTTATTTTGAGTTTTGGTGGGCTTATAATACTAACGCTATTAAAGAAGCTTTAATAAGTATTTAACTACCCTAAATAACTTAAATAAGGTTTTGTCTACAGAACCAGCTCGAAACTATTTTTTTAAATAACTTTCTTACTGTTTTTAAAATAACATTTATTTATTTATTTTATAGCTTCCTTTAGCGATTCTGATTTAAAATAATTGCCATTTTTGATTTTTTTTAAAAATTAAATTAAATTTGCATAATTTATATCCTGAATGTATTTCTTGAAAATTTTTACAACGTAATGAATTTCATAAAAAAATCTAAAACCAAACGCCCTCAATTGTCATAATGTAATAGGAGTTTTCATAAAATTGACTTTTATTTAAGTTCGTAGTTTGCAGAGTTGATGAAAATTTAATAGACGTTTTTGTTCTTGTTACTTTAAAAATTGTCCTAGTAGAAAAATAATCCAAATTATTAGCTCCTCTCAGTTAAGGGTATGGACATATCGTTGAACATTAATTCCCCGTACTCATTTTTGTAAAATCATTAAGTAAATTTTGAAGGCTAATATTATGCGTCATATTTAGAGAAAACTTTGAGATTACAAACTAAATAACTACTTTATATGAAACTAAATAACTACTTTACATAAAACTAAATTTAATTCTGATATGTATAAAATATGATTTTATTCTTGCTTCAAAATTAAAATAATATTTAAATTCTTTTTTTAAAAAAATGTGTCTTGAATAGTTTTTAGTTTTCTTTGAACAAAATATATATATATATTTTAAATATTCGCTGTTTTTCTTCCAGGTTCTTTGGCATTTGGATATTTTTCGCCGAAGTTTTAGAGAGTTGTGTGGTCATGCCTGCATGGAAGATTCTTGCATATTTTGTGCATTAAAAGTAAGTTTTCAGCTCATTTTTGTGTGCTTGTATTAAGTAAGCTACAATTAATTTCTACCTTTAAAAAAAGGAATCTTTAGTGATTATCATTTAGAAATAAATTTTCAGCTTTAAATATATACTTAATGTTTTTTTATTTTTTATTTATCAATCTTTTGATACACTAGTCAATTTAGTTTATAGTATCGAATCATGTATGAAACCATTTTCTCAAAAAACGTTTTCGCCTAAAGTATTGCTTTCAAATAAAATAAAGCACACCAAGTTAGCTTTTGTGTAACAAGTTATTGCTACCAAATGTTTAAAATTTGAAGTTTTACTTCGAGAAAGCTATTAATCAAGATTTTTACGTAATTTAATATGAGGCATTACATTTAATATGAGGAACATTCTTAACCAAACTAAATTTTTCTTAACTAAAGAAATTCTTGTTTTCTTTTTAGGAATTATTTGCACAGTTTCAATACAGTCAAGAGTCTGCTCTACCTCCTGATGCATTACGGCGAGCATTAGCTGAAACATTTTGTGATCAAAGAAGATTTCAGCTTGGTTTCATGGACGATGCTGCTGAATGTTTCGTAAGTACCATATATTTTCTTTTGCCGAAGAAAATTTAGTAATTCGATTATTAGATATCATATTTCGTATCATATCATAACATATATATATATATATATATATATATATTAGATTATTAGATAAACATATTTCGTAAATTATATTTCTGGATTAATTATAATTTTCACTTAATTATAGTTTTACATCTCGAAACATTTTTAATAAGTACTATTTAACTCAATTATTATTTTGACTTTTCTCTGGTAGCTCTATAAATTTTGGAATTTTATGTAAAGGATTTATTTTTGTGAAAATGGCATAATTTAATGTACTAAAATGCTTATTAAAGTTTGTTTGTGTGTGTAAAGTTTTTAATGTAAAACTAAATGTATTATAGGAAAACATTTTAATGAGGATACATTTCCACATTGCAAATAATGAGTCAGAAGACATGTGTAGTGCTGTTCATTGTATACCTCATCAAAAGTTTGCTATGACGTTGGTCGAACAAGTAAGTAACTTTTTTTTAAATGTACTAAGTTTACATTTATTTATTTTTGAGTTACTAACAGAATTAAAATTATTATTAATCTTAGTCCTTCATTTAAAACATTTTATTGAGTGTTTCAATGTTTGGCTAATTTTTAATATATTTGTTATTATAGACTGTGTGTCATTCTTGTGGTGCTACCTCTGAACCATTACCGTTCACGCAAATGGTGCATTATGTGCCCTCTTCAGCTCTTTGGTGAGTATAAAATTGAAATCATTATTTTAATTTCTTTAACCCCTTCTCTCTCGCTCCCGTCAAAATCACGGGGTGAGCTTTCGTCTCGTATTTCTAGTGTTCATGATATTTCCGGGCGGGAGTGTTCAAAAGTAATGCACCAAAAAAGTTTAAATATATCCATCTCTTGTGCCCAGGATTTTTTTATTTCTCATTTTATTCACTAGATGGCAGCACCAGAAAATTATTAATGTAACTGGAGATGTTTACTTTAAACTAGATTTCAGCACTATCTTAATATTTGTATTTGTTATATGTATTTCGTACTCTTAGCTCAGCTACGCATGCTCTTTGTAAATGTACGTGGTTTGTGTTCTGTCATAAAATATTTTTCAATATTATGTACTACGTTGTGGAGTCAGAGTTATATGGATATATGGAGTTTTAAATTTCAATCTAAAAAAATTCCAAAAATGAAAATTGAATACAAATATTGTACATACACCTTTTTTTCCCTTTAAATTTCTTGAATGAAAAAAATAGGCATTTTTATGACTATTTTCTTGAAAATAAGATTAGTTATTTTATAATAGGTTACAGATCATTTTAGAAAAATTGATTGGAATTCTTTCTTTGAGTGTTTCTTTTTACTTTAAATCAAATCAATTTCTTTATTTAGTGTTTTCATTTGATACTTTTTCATTTATTGATGACATAATTTTTCTCCTGTTTAAAATTTATAAATTTTTACTGTTAAAAAAAATTCTTAAACTGTTAATTTTATTTATAATAATAAATTTTTTTAAAATTTATGTTAATAATTTGTTTGTAACAATCAACTTTGAATTAATCAACTTTTATGTACGCCAACTTTTAGAAGAAATGTCTTACTTTCAAATTCAATTATTAAATAATTTTACATTTGCTGATTTCTTCTATTTAATGTTTATAGGATGGAGCATATATTGATTTTTTATTAATACACTAATATGATATCTATCTATCTATCTATATCTATCTATATCTATCTATATCTCTATATCTCNTATATATATATATTATTTTTGTTAAAAGCAATAATAATTTGCATAAAACAATTATAAAATTATTTTAAATAGCTCTCAAGCAAAGTTGATGAAAGAGCAAAATGATCAGACACCAAATTTCAGTGAACTACTGAAGAAGGCCGGTGGTTTAGGAGATTTAAGAGACTGTCCGGTAATTATGAACTTATTATTAACTTATTATTATGACCTTATTTATTATTATTGCTTATTATACTTATTTTAATAGTGCTGTGCAATAATTCAATCTATTCTATTTTTCCTGACCTCTTTCCATTTTTTTTTGAAAATAAAGGTACCATATTTAATTGCCAGTGACAACAAGAGTACGATTTTTGTTGATTTTTTGGATATAAAATCAAGGCAAATCAGTACCATTATCAGCAGTAACACAATTTCTTTAATAGTTATAACAGCAACAGAGAATTTTTGCTTGTATATTTAAAAGTTGGTACTAGTGTTAAAGAAATGGGGAATTAATTTTTTGTTATACGAGAAAATATAATACGATCAAAATATTTGTTGTGAGAACGAGTAGAAGGCAAAAACTTTTATTATCAATATAATTCTTGTTATTAGAAATGGCATCATTTCTCTTGTTACAATTAATTCTAGTGACAAATTTTAATTTCTCATGACTTTCATGAAATAAATAAAAAATATTAGACTAAGTCTTTGTATCTTTGTAACAAATTTTTGTTAGAATTATTATCAAATCCTGTATCATATCTTTCTAACAATTTTCTTCATACATATTTTTATTTTATTTTTATGCAGAAAATAATATTAAAATTTTTAATTCAAGTGATTTTTGAAAGAAGAAAGCATTTAAAGTCTAATTTTTTTTACCAACATTAAAATGCTAATGAAAATTGTTTAAAAGTATATTGAAATGACTTTTTAAATTTACTTATATGACATTTGTGACCCTTTTAAAAGTAATGTAGTATACAAATGTCAAATAATAATGAGGCTTTCATTTATAATTTTAGAGTTCTTGCGGTGCTGTAATTCAAATAAGAAAAACTTTGATGAATCGTCCAGAAATAGGTAAATTATTTTTCTACTGTTCTATATAAAATTAGTCTTGATATTATGTAATTGTGTTTCCTCTAGCTTTAGAATATTTTATGTTCCCATATTAATTTATTTAACTTTTGCAGTGAGCATTGGACTAGTTTGGGATTCTGAACGTCCTACAATTGAACATATCATGGATGTTTTTAAAACTATTGGGATGTCTTTAAAATTGCAAGATGTGAGTTTTATTTATATGAATTTAATTTTTTCTATTGAACATTTAAATTTTCATTCTATAATGTCTGAACATTTTAGATTTTTATTCAAAAGTTTCTAATGTTCATTTTTTTAAATTGTTTAATTAGAGCAAAACTAGCATAATAAACTTTTAAAATCAAATTCAGATGCTGTATTTATACTTTATTACACTTATTTTATTAAATATTTTCATAAAGATTTAATCAATATATCTAAATTAACATTATATTTAAGAACTTTCAATATGAAGCCATTACATGCATGGCATCTCAATTTATTTACATTACACTTACCTTATGTTAGTTTTTCTTCAAGGAAATGAACTTTACAGGGATGTTTGTGTCTTGAAAAAGAGAGAAAAATTGATAGTAAAACCATTTTATTTCTAGCTTGTTTTCATTAGGAATTAATTTCCCTGATGCAAAATAAATAAATTTCTAGTCTTATTTATAATTATTTTCCATTGCATCACTGATGTGTACGTAACTTTTAATAAGTCTTGGTAATCATGGTTCTTTTTCTCTCTGAAACAAACTACTTATGAAATGGTTTCACTATGGGTTTTTTCTGAGGCTCAAACATTTCTTACTTTACATGTTGTGATTTTAATAATAAATGTAATTTGCTTTGTTTTATGAGCACATTGTATGAGCAACTTTATTTCTATATTAAAATGAGTTATAGTTGGTGTTATGTTGATTATTAGTGTTAAGATCTTTTACCAAATAAATTGTATAGAACTTCACTTGATTCCTGAAATAATACATAAATTTTTACACTATTTTATAAAATTATATGAATTTTTTTTATTTATTAAAATGGAAGTTTTTTAGCAATTATAAAATTCTGTTAACAGTAGGAAATAGGTGTTAGTGTTTTCATTTCACACTATTTAGAATAATACCAAAGTTCTACTGACTTAAAGAAAATGTGAATGGCATATCGTTAATTCTATTTAAATTTGTTTATTTTTAAAGGTATTTCATTCCGTTGTTGATAGTCGATGGGCATCTACTGCAACTCACCAACTTGTCGGAATTGTTACTTATTATGGAAAACACTATTCCACATTTTTCTTCCATACAAAACTGAGAGTTTGGATTTATTTTGATGATGCTGCTGTCAGAGAAGTAAGCAGAATTTCTCTTCCACATTTTTACTTACTTATTAATATAATCAAATGCTGTTTACATAAAAATTAAAAGGGAATTAGAAAATGGTTTATGTGAATTAATAAACATTTATAGCCTCTCCTTTATCGAAAGTATCTTCCAAACTAGTGCATTTAATTTTTAAAGTTATTTTTTGCCGTGTGTTTATAAACTTTGGCAAATTATATCTTCAAAAATCTGATATTTAAAATTAATAATAAAATACATTACATTATATTGCACACCTTTATATTTTATGTATTTTTTATATTTATGTTTTCACACTTTATTTTTTAAAATTTTTAATGAAAAATGTAAATTAATAAATGATATTGAAATATACGTTTAATCAATTATAAAAAATTGTGTAACTTTCTTGAGAAGGTAAAAAAAAACTAAAAATGTTTTTAAAAGAATTGTAATAAATTTTTTTTTTTGACTCATTAAAAACCTATAATCTATATCAAATTTTATTCAAACCTCTGTCACATTTGGGACTAATTTTCAAGATGGAAATTAATATGTAAATATTGTTTATTATAATTTGAAACTGAATTGTATGTTATTAAAGCAATATTTCTGTAAAAGAAGATTTTGTTTGTATTATAAATACTGTTAATTCCTAATTAAGCTAATATGTTTCCGTCTTTGATTGCTTGTATACAACAGGTAACTTGATAGTAATCGTTTTGGAGCATTTTAATACAATGACATTTAGAAAAAAGATTTTTTTGGCTTTGGTTGCTAATTGGCTATTGTTAATAATATAACCTCAATAGTTTAAAATTTTATTAATAGCTTAAATCTTACAGTCGTAATATACTGTGCAAATTTCTTTTTTTATTACCTGTGTTCTTACCGTACTGCTTTTAGCCTTTTCCCACTTCTTGGGTGATGTTAAAAAATATCTAAAAAATAACTTTATTTGATCAATTAGTTGTATTTTTAATATGTTACATCTTTGACTATTGAAAATTTGACTATTTGGAATGTTGTATGTTTTATAAGATTGTATAAATACCAAGCAAAATATGAATTATATAATTGAAATTGTATAAATTACATTGAAGTGATTTTTGTTTCTTGATTATGTGGTGTTAAATATTGGCAAATAGATTTTTTTATTTTACATGATCAATTTGTTAGAATCTTTTAAGAATTATAATATTACTTGAAAATAATAATTGTTTTTATTTATCATTAGATTGGACCAAAATGGGAACAAGTTGTCGAAAAATGTTGTCGTGGGCATTTCCAACCCCTCCTTCTGTTGTACGCCAATCCACATGGCACACCTGTTAGTACATCCACTGCACCTCGATTAGTTACTGTTGTGCCTGGGCATCGAAAGAATCCAAATGGTATAATAAATTATTGTAGCATTTTTAAAGAGAAATCTTTATACTTAATTTGTACAGTGATGGGACTCAAATCATTTACAAGACCGGTACTCTTAAAATTATATCAGTATTTTTTAAAAGTAGTAATTATAGAAAATAATGGGAACATAATATAAGATGTATAAATGATATTATTTTTGTTTTAAACTAATTATTTTTTAAATATTGGCTTCCTGATTTTTCCCTTGAATCTTCCACATATTATTACATCGGAGTATCATTGGCCCTGTGGTACGTCATAGCCATTTTATAACAACTGGCTTTGATTTCCAGTTTTCAGAGGTAATCACATTAAGGAAATTATTATTTTTTAAATATTTTCTACCGTAAGTCTGTTTCTTTTGTGCCTACTGATGGAATTTATAAGGCTAAAGCCTCTTTCATCTGAACTTACAGCAACAGTTGGCTAAATATTCTTTGCCTTCATTCTCTCATTCATACTCTTAAGAATTATATGATTGTTCATGTTTTTAAAATATGTTCCAATATAATCCCTACAGTCATTGATGTCTATTCGATACTTGAAAATGTCAAAAAACTTCAGAAGCAGTTGATTTTCCCCTTCTCTCCTAGAAACAACCAGATCTTCTATTTTCTATTATTTCGGTTCCAGATATGTAACCTAGTCGATTCCGACAAGACTTTTTACAGTACCTTCATGAATAATCTATCGTCATTGATTTGATTTTAAGATTTCAAATTATGCATCTATTGATATTCTATCCTATTTGCATGTAAAACACTTGAATTTTATATTCTCACTCAAATGAATACATTCAAAATTTTTAGAGCTAAAAGTTTCCTCAAATGTTTTCTCTTAAGCTCCATCATTAGTCTTGAGCATTTCAAAAGCTTTAAATGTTCGTCGTAATCTTTTTTTCTTTAATAAAATTAAAATTCCTTTCTTGTATTTCTTTGGACAACATAGAGATTTCCATCAAAATATCAATATTTTAGGAAGTTTTTATTTTCTAGGCATTTTTGCATGCCTGAGAATGTTTTATTTGATATGGAGAACAAATACAGAGATGAATAAGCACACCAACTTACAGTTGTTGATTTTAAACAGCATGATGCCCATCGTGGCCCAAAAACACGTCTAATTTTAATGATTTAATTTCAAAGATTTTTGTTTGATTGATGAAAAATTGCATACATTTTATGAATGAAAAATTTCAAACGATTAACTTCTTTGATCCTCTTGATTAAATCAGCTAAAACAAGCTAAAGGTGATGATTTAAACAATGACAGACTATTATATTTGGGAAACTACTCAAAATTCAAGTTCTGACACCAGAAATTTTCTTTCAACATTACACTGGTTCCATCTGGACAAAATGCAATTAGATTTCGCTTTAAATGATTGTTGTCAAATTTTACACTGTTTTAAGTCTGCGATAGACTTTCAAAAATTGATTTATAATTTTGCTTTCGCAATTAAGCAAATCTAAGAAGGATGAAAGGTGCGATTTCCGGATCTTTCACTTTATTAAAAATCATTAAAATTGGCTTGCTGGAGATGGTTGAAGCCTCATCAATAATAATACGAACAATATGCGTATGCAAATTTTTAAATCCTCTGTTTTCTTACCAAATATTTCATTTTTCCTTTAATTGATAATGAAGTCAACTATTTTTGTTGTTATTTTCCGTGAATAAAGACCAATCGTCATACTCAATCCATTTTTTAATTGAAGCTTGATTTCATCTTCAGTGTGTGAGGATATAAGACGTTTCGTCAAACAGTACACAATATTAAATAGTTTACATGTTGACTTTATGCATATTTCACTAATTTTATCAACAACTTTGCATATCGATTAGTTTTTAACTGTTTGAAGCTATGCTTAGATAAGTTGTCTTATTTTGTATTAAAATGTTCTTCCATGTTTTTTTTTCTTCTTAAACATGCTTGCAGGTTCCTTATTACATTTCCTAATGGCTCCACTTGGCATTCTCTATTCTTTAGAAACATGAATGCCTTTATTATATCCACTTTGCGATACTTATCACATCCCAATTTACCTTTAACAGCTATTAATCAGTAATAATTATTATAAAGATATTAAGCTCTTCTTGGGTCCAGTGATCAGGAAGATTAGTTTCGATTTTTCTGGTTAGCAATTAATTTGGAATCTTTTATATCTTTATTAAAAGTCACCTAAACTTAATTGTCTTTTCCTTTTTAAATAAGTCAAAAATAATTACTAGAAAAATTGCTGAAACATATTAAATGCTCTAATGTAGTAAAAATCCACAATACATTTATTTCTACAAACTATGAATTAAAATCCTGCCAAAATTCAATGTTTTAAATCAAAGGCACCTGAAAATTTTAAGGACCAGTACACATTATTTAGTTTTAAGAATCAGTACCAAAGTACCAATGCAAACTAGGTGAATCCCATCACTGAATTTGTATATAAAATTAAATTGAATATATATATAAAAAAAAAACTTTAGAAAATTGTTTAAAAAGGAGAAATTTTCAATTATTATAATGTTTAATACGAATAGAATTTAAAACAGTTTTAAATGCTTTATGAATTTTTAAATTATACTTGTTACTTCTTTAAATGATATTGATAGAAATATTATCTGTAATCAGTCTTTAGTTAAGTTATGAACTAATCTGTGTTTAAAAAAAATTCTTACAAAAATCTTTAACTTAAAATGATAAAAAATGAAATTTTTTTATATCCTTAAGTAATATGCTTTCAGAGTTTCTCGAAGGTTGTTTTTTTAAATCAATAATTTAATATATATATATTTTTTCAGACAAAGATCCTGGTTCAATCAACGTAAGTGACAAGCATATGAGACTTTTTCAACATCCATCTACGAATAATCAAAGAAGAGCTTTAACTCCAAATCCTGAAGTGACTTGTGACATGACTCCAAACATACAACCTAGGAGAGCTGTCACACCCAGTGGTGAGCTTTCCTGGACAGAAGAACAAGCTTCTAAGCCAGAAATTTCTGACTCTCATGCATCATCTGCTGCAGAAAATTCTACTAATCATAGTATAAAATCATCCATATTTCATACTGCAACATATCCAAACTTTCACTTATCATCAAAATATCCTGAACAGATTTCTCTCAGAAATCCTATCCTGGATAATCTTAAGTTAAATCGTCTATCCGGTCGCATATCTGTGCCCAATTGTTCTCATTTTTCTGATGCAGCCCAAGCAAAACTGAACAGGACGTTACCCAATAGTAATGCTCTTAATCATCCAATAACAGTGGATAATTTGCAACAACCAGAAAATGATTCAGAAAAAATGGCAGATCCTCTGTCTTCTCTTAAAGACTCTGAGCATAGCTTAAATAACGCATATATTAGTCGCCAAACTGTGGAAAATATTTTGCAACTGCAAAAATTGCAACGTCAGCGATCAATAAATAACAAAAATGGAAATGGTTGCATCGGACATAGAAATAGTAGTAGTAGTTTGGAATCTTTGGATAATGTATTTGCTAAAGGGTATCACAATCATTTAAATTTAAAGTTTGATATTCCGGATGCTGCAAATATTGCTAGAAGAAGAGATTCTGGAAATTGGAGTGGTGACAGGAACAGTGCCAGTTCATCGAGTACTACTTCTCTAGATAATCCTTATTTCTATGTTGTTGGAAATAAAAGGTAAGCTTTTTTTTCTTCTTTCTTTCGACTTTTTATAATTTACATCTTTAAATTTAATGAGAATTTTTTTTGATGGATTTCTCATTAAATTATCCCTTTTTAAAGTTCTAAAATTTTTTTTGTCTTTATGTGATTCGCAGACAAATCATTATTCTCTCAAATTAACATGACACTGATGCAAATAAGTATGAGAAGACAGTTTTCGTTCATAAAAATATAAATACAGTAGGGAACCGATTATCCGGAACGGTCGGGACCATCGCTATTCCGGATAACTGATTTTTCCGGTTTTCTGAATCGCTACAAAAAGCCGTTTTTTTATTGTTAAACCCAACTAAAAAAAAAAAAAAATTGGAAATAATCTTAAAAATAAGAAAAAACGATGAAGTAATACACTAATGATTATTTCCGAAATGATGGTAAGGTAAACATCTTTAAAAAAGAAAGAAAAATCGTAAAATCTTACGAGGAAAAAATTTTTTTTTTCAAAATTGGCGAGAAAATTTATCGAATTTCATTCCGGTTTTTTAGTTTTCCGGTTTTCTGATTTCCGGATAACGGGTTCTGTACTGTACTTTGTACCAGACTAAGCTTGGAGAAAATCATCAAGCTTCAACATGAGCAATTGTTATACATTAATTCCCAATAATATAATAAAAACTTATTGAAAAGAAAGAAAAAACAATTTACTCTGCAATGAGGAAATTTTTAATTTCTTTTATTTGCAGGTTCAAAGTAACTTAGTTGTAATTACCCTTTTTCTTAATACTTTTAAAACGTTGTAACTAATTCAATACTGCGATTGTTTGATATCTTGTTAATTGATCATATATTTTGAATATAATTTGCACAGAAAAATAGTTTTTTTGGGAATAAAAATATATTTTATTAAAAAAATTGCATCAATTTGAAAAAAAATTATTTTTTTAAAAATAAAATAATAATTTGAAAATTTACCTGTCTTTTAAATTGTAATATAGTTCTTACACAGTGAAAATTGTATTCTGATAATTAAATGTTTCATAAATGATACACCTATTTCTTCACAAAAATAACATAAATAAACTAAATGCAACCAAATAACCATTTACATTAAAAAATGAAATTCTCTGACAAACTAATGCATTGTTCACTTTTAACTATTATTTTCGCCTATTTTCTTATTTTATTGGGTGATCTCTTTTAAGGTTTCTATATGAAATATTTGTAAAATAAAAACTATATATTATTATATTGCTACATTTCAGACCATTAAATTGCATGAGAAGTGCTGGTGGAAGACCTGGAGATACTCCCTCCCTCACAGATGCAGGCTATGATTCTTTCTCTCTTTCAAGTTCTGACAGTTATCCTTCCGCCATAAACAATTCTCCGTCTAAGATTGATTCAAGACTGGGGCAGATTCCGGAGCATGTACAGACAGCTTTTGTTCCTTATGACATATCCCAATTGCAGTATTGTTTGAAGGATTTAAAGAACAATGAACATTTCCCTTTTGGTAAGTTGCCGGTTGTGTTATGTAATCTTTAATTTTGTTGTAAAAATTGTTTGTTTCCCTTCAAAATTAATTATTTTTTTTACTGTCCCTGATTCTTCAAATTTAATAAATGAAAATATGTTGATGCATTGTGGCTTTTCTCAGTCACATTCTTTATTTTGTTTTAATTACAATGTTAAAATTCTAGAAGAAGGAAAGGAATAAACACTAAAACTAATTTAATAAATATTTATATTATAATCAACATAATTCTAAAAGAAAATTGTTTTTCTGATTAAATTTATAATTGAAAATGTTCAATTTTAGGTTTCAAAGATGAATGTGATAAATTATGTGCTGAAGCTGACATATTTGTTGCTAAATCTGTGGAACGTGAGAATGTCGGAGATATATCAATGGCTGCACTTCTCAGTGATACAGCTGCTGGTAAGTTTGCATATAACATCAACTCTTTTTCAAAACTTATTGGCATTATAATTTATAGAATGAATATACTGTGCTCAATTTTTATATCTATTAAAATTTACTAAAATCTTGAAGTTTTTTTTCCCATTAAAACTACATAAATATGCTTAATTTTTTTCTTTGTATGTATCGCCCAATATGGAATTCCAGGTGGGACGTTTACACTAAATTGACGATTAGTTAAAATATTTTAAAGCATTGGTTTAAATTTTTATGGATTTCAACATTGACCACTTTTATATACATTAATACAAATCTGCAATTTGCCCTGCATTTTATTTATTTTTTTTAAAAAATAATTTCCACATGTTGCTAGTGTGACATGAAAAGGACAGGCATTTTCATCTTTCAGTTAAAAAACTCAAAATTCTGTGTGAACTTTTCTTTTTTTGGTAGACAATAATGTTTTATTAAATATTCTATGAAAAAATTCAATTACTTTCTTGATTCTTGGTTGTGTAGGAAATATTCAAAGTTTATCGTTGCTTGTGTGACTTGTATGACCAATGAAATAATAACACACATAAATATTTACAAAGCAAGTTTTTTTAAAATTATTATATTAATGAAGGATACAGTAATAATATCAAAAGGTAATAATATTAGTTTTCTTTGCCTCTCAATTTGCTTTTGACATAATTGTTTTGCCACATGCTCAAATGAAACTAATTTTAATTTATTCACTGGGATTAACACAAAATCAAAGGATGTCATTTACATATTGTTACTTACTGTTGTTATTTACATATTTTCCAGCATATTACTTTTTCATGATTTTTCTTAACCTACATTTGTGTTCAGTTTAAAATGATGTTGTGGGTGAGATTTAAAAAATTGTCACACTCACTCCAGGAACGTGTCACACCCTCAATGTTTAGCAACCTAAATTAAAGAAAAAAAATTTTGCTTCTATAATTCAAAGTATCATAATAAAATATTTTTGAATTAGTGTCAAAACTTACACTCAAATAAATTTTTCTGTTTATATATAAATGCAACTTTTTCTTGCGGATGTGACAATAATTAAGAGTAAAATTTAATATGCTTACCTTTTGTAACGAAGATTAGTGAATACTTTTCTATGGGCTAAAGCTCTAAATAATAGCTGTCAGATTATATGTATATAAGTTTAGAGATTTGAAGAATTGCTTGTTCATCGAATATGTAACAAAGATTTTTGCAAAGTATTTCCACACAGACATATGTCATTTTATTAGTTAAAATAAGCAAGTTAATGACAAAAATTTCATTCTTTTTCATTAAAATATGAAATAGTATACCCTTTTACAGTTAAAATTAAACATAGTTAAGGAAGTTAAAATTTTCATCCTCATGTCCACTTTTTTGTGGATTAAGCAGTATATGCCTACTAATTTTCTGATATTTTTTATTTGTTCTGTTAATAATAAATATGGTAGTCTTGGTTTTTATATCTGTTAAATTATAATTACTAAAAATCCATAAAGTATCAATATAATGACAAAAATTATTTTGAAAAAATTATTTTATTATTTGAAATTATTTTGGAACCTATTAAGTTTGTTAAAAATTAAAATTGAAAAGTATTAATTTTTGCTCTTGATAGGTTAGCTTTTAATAACAATACATATCTTCGCATGAACTTGTTTGCAAAACAATGAATAAAACTAAAATTATCTTGATTGAACATTAATTAATATTTACACTCAAGCAAGCAATTTTTTAAATTTTTCTTTTATAAAAAGATATATTGAAATATATTGTTCATTATTTCTTTCCTGTCATGGACAAGATATTTTATTAGTCTATTTTTTTTAAAAAAACACTGCTAAAAGTGCATATTTTATTTCTGTATGTCTTTTTTACATTAATAAATTAAATGATTATGCTAATATACATATATTTTTTCTCGTTTAGCTCGAGCGAGAGCTGCCATGGATGTACCATACACAAACAGCACTGCTTTAGCAATGGCAAAAATGAAGCACAGTATGTGTCTAATTAGATCCTCTAACTTGCATAAGAAATTGAAGGAACAAGAAGTGGCATTGAGACGAAAACAGAAAGAAGCAGCTATTGAGGCTTATCATAAAGAACAACAAAATGCTGTCTATAATAAAACTTCCAATGATGCCTCCACAAATAGTTCTGAGAGTACTTTAAACGATAGTTTAAAAAGTCCTCAAAAACCTGCGTGTGCCAAGCAGCCTGAGGAGCAAATAAATAATGATAAAAATATTGAAATATATGCCACACTGCCTAAAAGAAGTTTGAAAAAGAAGGGTGCCCTTTCTTCTTTCGTTGAATCCTTGACGGGTGATGAAAGTTGTGATGAAAAATCAGTGAAGGATAAGCGCAATAAAACACCTGATGGCAGAAAGTCTGATGGCGACATTAGTTCCAATGAAAAAGAAGATAAAAGATCAAAATCTCCAAGTCGAAAAAAATCTTTCCAAAAAGCGTCAAATAAAGATTCTGATCTCAGTGACTATTCCAGTGAATGGGAGCATTCGAAAAAGACCTCCTTATACAGGACATATTCAGGCCCAACTGCCAATTCTAAAAATGAGCTTTCAGATATCAATTCCAGTACCATACAGTCTTCTCCAGACCACCCTGCAAAAAAGCAGCATAGAATTCGTCGAAAGCTGATGGGTGGCTTTATGAGGAGAAAAAATCGAAGCTTGCCCGATCTCCGTGAAGGTCAGGATTCGGGCGGTGAAGCAGCCAGGTCTTTTGACGATTGCTTTTTCTCTCAGACTCCAGTATCTTGTCGCAAAAACAACTCTTTGAATCAGGAAAAATCACCACCTAAAGGAAGACAAGAGTCTTCAAAATTTACGCATCTGACAGATAGTAAATCTTCAAAGAAATGCATTACCAGAGCAAATACACCTCCTCCATACAAACCACCTCCACCTATTCCTCATGCAACATCCTCCAATGCCTCCTCTCCAAAGAAAAATATCCAGTATCACAACCACGAAGCAAAGAAAGCAGCACCACCTCCAACACCTCCCCATGATGCCCAGAAACAAAAATCTGTACATCAACCTCCTGTAAATAGGGACTTGAAACAAATTCCCAGGAAACTGAATCTCCATAATGTGGCACATAAACATGATGAACTTCCAATGCATAATGCTGAATGGCTAAAAGAGCTGCAGTTGAAGCAGGAAGAGTTGAATTTGAAGCGAAAGCAACAGGAAGAAAGGGAAAAATGGCTTGCTGAGTGTTATTCAGGAGTTGATCAAAAATCAGGTATAATATTAAAATAATGAATTTCTGTTATTAATAATTATTTCTATTATTATAGTATGTAGCGTACTAATCTGAGCTTAAGCCTGTTTTTCGAAGGCTCCTTCGTAATATATGAAACGCTTTTTTGCGAATAATATGCTATTTTTATAACTGCTGTGAGTTTGCAACTGTTACTCATGACTGTTAAGTGAAGTTCAGCCTATCTAAAGCCAGCTCTGTCTATGCTTTTCTTGAAAATGACGCAAAACGTTATTATGGAGAAAAGCCACAGTTTTGTGAAAATGAAATGCATTTTGGTCTAATTTTTAAATATTTAAAATTTTATTCCAATGCTGCATTACTTGGATTCACAAAAATTTTCAAAAACTGAGAATAAAGCAATGATTTTGATAATTTTCATCTAGGTAAAAAATTGTTGCAGAATCGACAATTTTTAAAAAAGTTAAAAAACTTTTAAAATATTTAAGTTATTTGTCCTTTATAAAGTCCAGATAATTCTTCAAGGCAAGATTATATATATAGTTAAAAAAAATTTGTAATCTGTTTTTGCTAGCATCTTTAAAATTTCGCTTTGCTTATTTTTGGCATCTAACTTTTTATTTAAATTGTTTATAGCTTAAAATCATTGCATCAAGTGTAAGGCACTTAAACTATGACTTTTTTTTATTTTCCTTGGCGATAGAGTTTTATGATTAATGTCACCGTTAAATAATAATATGCTACTGTATTTTAATAAAATAAAATTAAAAAACAGCTGAATACTTAAGCATAGGTTACATGAAGATTAAGAAATATAAATATCATTACAATGTTAGTTCTCAGATGTATCCAACAAATTAGAACTTAAACTACATCGGCTAGAGTTCTGAAGAAGTTTTTTGTCTCGTGTTAAAGTGAATCAAATAACGGAATGTAATTTGTTTATTATCTTCTTTTTAGTTACTTAAGTTTTCTTATGTATTTATTTTTGCTTTTTTAGCTATCTCCTCGAGAAAAGCAGAGTGTGGTAGAGATTTATATAATCATAATCAACAAGTTGTAAGTAGTGCAAATTCATAAATTTTTGTTTGTTTGAGATTACTTGATTTTTGCAATGTGCTTTTAATTTTTTTTTCTTAGGGAAAAAAATAAAATAAAAAAACCTGCTGGATTTTCATAAATTTAACTTTAGAAAATACGTTTAAATAGTATTTTTAGTCGATAAGAATACATGAAAGCTATACTAACATTAAAATATCAACGGAATTTAATTTTTGATCTTTGAAATAGGTTAAAAATAAATGTGTATGAAATATATTTTGAAATTAGTTTTCTTTTTTACATTGTGCATTTTTGAATTATTTTAAAATCAAGTTCAATTGATATCAGAACTTAAACTTCAAAGATCAAATAGAATTTTTAGAGTTAATTCATTTTAAAATGCTGTTCTTTGAAGGATGTTCCCATCATGGTTTTCGTATTTTAACATATCTTAAATACATTTCATATATTCATTTATATTCCAATTAAAAATATTGTTTTAAATGTGTTTAGAGTTAGATTGTTATGACTCTCTGCACATTTTTTAAGCATGTAGTATTTCATGACTAATTTTAATTTTTTTTGTTGAAAGAAATGTAAAATATTTATATTATTAAATACGAAAATTAAAACTAATCGACTAAGGCAAATTTGTATAGTTTATTTTTCGTAGATAATTGTTGATTTTATGATAAAAATTAGAATTAACTTATGTATATTTGCAATAACTTGTAGTTAAATACATATTTAAATATTGCTCATTTGTCTTTAACCGACTGGTGGTGACACAGTTTTAGGGAAAGTTTCTCCTCTATACACTATTTCCCTTTCTCACAACATGGGAAAATTGTTTTTGCTGTATGAGAAAAGAATGTAGCTTGAAATACAATTTTCATCATGTGTGACTTCCTGATTTATTATTGATTTGTAAAAACTTTCCCACATAAATTCTTAGTCGAAGTTATGCAATGTTTAAATCTAGTTAATCATAGTCTTTTAATTAACTATAAATTTTGTTTTCAATCAAATTAATCTATAGGAAATTATTTATACAAAGAGAAGAGCTAAATTTTTCTTCTTAGTTAAGGAACAGCTGTATGAAGTTAATATAGGTAGCATGTTTTTACCGCTAGAGTCAAATTTTTCTTTGCAATATCTATGTTGCAACTTGCTGTGTAAATTATATTACATGACTTGGTATTGTCTTTTTATGTTTGGTTTTTAATTTTTAAATATCTGGAATTTAAAATTAAAAATCTTCATAGTCATTTCTTTTTTAAAAATTTTTAATCAGGAAGAGTATTCGTCTACTTTCGTGACTTTTCAGTTTATAGATAAATATTTCATAAATTTGTTCAGTCAGAAAATTTTTTCATGATTCCAGTTGCATTTGCTTGATATTCTTGAAGTGCAAAAGATACATGTGATATTTAACAAAGTAATTAAAATCTCTTCTAATTTGCAAAGTTTTCTGTGAGCAGAACAGAAGTCTACACAAAATTTACCAAAAATCCACATGACTATTTAAATAATAACTATAATTTTTAAGGAAAATTTTTTAATTGCTTTAATATAATATTTTATTGCAGTTTTTTCTAAAGGCTTATTTATATATGTTTTAAAATTTGTTCATTTGTACTCTATTTTTTATTTATGAATTTATTTAAATTAATTTCATTCGTTTCACAGCATGACAAAGAAATACATTGCCTACCAAGATCTGTTGCTAGTTGTCTATCAGTGGCCAGTAAAGACATTTCACCTGTTAGCATTGATCAACAAAAATCTGTTCGTGATCTTACGACGAAGTTTGAAAATATATGTGTTTCCCCATCTGATTCAAATTCTGAGAACACCAATGATGTTAAAACAGTCGAAACAACAGCTATTAACAGTGATCAAATTGCGCAAAGCAGAAGAGCTTCTAATGAAATAGACAAGTCACATTGCCATTCTACCGCGAACCATTACTGCTCCCCTAAACTGTCCGATAAATCTTTTAATCAGTCAGACTGTATAAACGAAAGACTCTGCAGTCCTGTTAATGCAAAACAGACTCAAATGAATTCTAGTAATGTATATAACCATCATTTAACAGATGCTCAATTGACTAATGTTTTGAGGATAGGTGGCAATCGATCTTCTTTTAGGAACTCTAAAGGTGAATCTCAAGATGATTTATTGTTCAGGTACCCTCGTGAGGCATGCGTAATGCACGAGGCAAAAAGGCCCGACAAGCCACCAGACTATGAAACAGCTCTGCAGAGACTAGAGCTCCTGCGTAATGACAGGAACTTTTCTAAATTTTATGCGCCAAATTTCATGAACTTCGAGGACATTCTAGAACAAGCTAAGAAGAGAAGAGGACCCAAGAAAAGTGTGACATTCTCTGATAAAGTTGTGTTAGTGGCGTGCGCGGGCGACGAGGACAATGACTTCATACCTAATCCTTTATTAGAGCGTGTATATAAACAACATTTCCAACAGAAACCAAATGGATTATCAACTGAAATTCAAGACAACGATCTTAGTTTAGTACATGATGTTAGTGCAACTGAAACACCTGCTCCAGAGCCGAAAATATCTGACAGTATGAAATCTTCAAATTCTCCGCTTTGCAATTTGTGCCATAAAAAAACGGTAGAGCCATCAAAATTGTATTGCCCTGATTGTGCCTTTTATATGTCCCGATTTCAACAAAAATAAAAACTAATTTTTGTGTTAAATAGAAAGAGGCATTAGAGATTGTCAAATTGATCTTCCAAATTGTTTGCCAAATTTAGCATAGATTTGTACAGTAAATAATGTAAGATTATGTTTACATGCTGTTAGAAGGATTTCAGATGTGCTCAAATAATGTTGTATGTGTTTTGTTTCGTGCAATATGTAAAATTCATCAAATGTTGATTTGTATGTAATTGTTGTTATCTATTGTTCTTGTATAGTTTTAGCCAGCATGTTGAATTTTTAGTTAATGTACTTAATTTGTCTTTTGTATATTTGGATTTATAAATTTTTTTTAAAATTTCATTTGCAATTTCAAAGTTGTTATCCAGTTTAGGAAATCTTTTAAAATACATTGTTGAATATTAAAAAAAAGTAGTGGAAAAAAAATAAGGAAAATTTTTAAAGTTTCTTATTTTAAAGTGTGTATTAAGATGTTATAATTATTTCATTCTGTCTAACAGAAAAAGCTAAAGAAATAATCAAATTAGCTGTTGCTCCATACAGTTTAGTCTGTGATACTTGTTAGTACAATTATTTTTAGTGATTTTACTTTGTAATGTTATGCTTGTAACAATGACTTTATTTGTTTGATATTTCTTAGATTTTAAATTTTTATCTGGCCTTTCTGAGCACATACAAAACAAATTAGTAGGAAAAAAAAATTCAGTATTTTTTATGATTTTTATTAATTTAGTTATGCGACTCATTGTGTGGAATAGCTATTAATTTTTTTTTCAGTAGTTGCTTTAAAAAATTTGACTAAAAATAAATTACCATACATTCTCAAACAATTTCATAATTTCAATTTTCATTTTTTTTATTAACATCAAATAAATCATTAAACCATCTATAGTTTTATGTATGTACTAAATATGTTGATTTGTGCCAAAGTGAAATAAAAATAAGTCTATTGAGGCAAGTTTGTTGATAAGTTTTATTCCTTCTATCTGATGTGTTTAGATTTTTCTTTTTTGATTTATCAACACACATCGGTTAAAAGGAAAGCATCAGCTAACTTTCTATGAGACTTATATATTAGAATTGCAGTATTTAAAAACCACCGATATTTTTAACTGCTAATGTGTACATAAGCGGACTTTGTAAATATAGAGCATTTTTTTTAATATTGTACAAATTATTTTAATAAATCAAATATTTTAGTTTCAAATTGGTTTTCATATTTTTTACTCCACCAGAGTTTCTTCTTTTTTTTCACAGCATAAATATTTCTAAAATTGTTTCAAAAACAGCTCAGTCTACATTTTTATGAAGACTTGTCTCATTTTTTAAAAGTTGTATGCCTATTTTTAACGAACAGCTTTTTTCTACATAAATAAAAGCTGTTAGCTGTTTTTTGTATCTCTCTCTTTTCTGTATTAAATTGACTAGGTTGCATGTGAAAAGGAGTTCCACAATAAAAAGCAATCAAGTAAGAAAAAGAGAGATAAACTTTATTTTCTGTTTAGTTTCTTCAAAAAAAATAAAAAACAGACATTTATTTATAAAATTAAAATGTTAGTTCGAAAAACAAATGATGATTTTTAAATGACTTTTTGCTATCAGTTGCGAAAAATCGGCAACTTTTTTCTTTACCAATTCGCTTCTAAAAAAACCAAATTGCGATTTTATATCCTTCGTATTTTTTCAGTTTTATTGTATTTTTATGCGTGTAGTTTCAACTAACCATTTATTGACTATGCTGTTGTATTAAATTTAGAAAACATACTAGATTTAATCCATGCTGCAATTGAGTTTAACAAGATCGCTATTTTATTACTTTTATAAATTTCTCTCTATTTCATTCCGAGCAATATTTATTTAAATTTCCATTCTAATGACACGTTTGAGATCCATATTTTCTTTATTTTGTGCAATTGAATATGAGCTCTATTATTCTAATTTATACTATCCTCTTATCTCCAATATACCCTTTCATACACAACTTATTAGCAATGAGTTAAACAACAGGATTGGCATTTCTTATAAATCTCCAAATTTCCCATTTATTTATTTTTAATGTTACTCTGAAAATTTCTACTCGATACCTAATAATTGCCTCTCCTCCCTATTAATACTATCCAGCTTATTTAAATATTAAAAATTGGTGCTCGTTCAATATTTAAATTTCACGTAAGAACAGATTCGAAACACTTAATTGAATGAAGCAAGTAAGAATCTTGGATGTCAATGAAAAATGTTTATCTTCTTTCTCTATATGTAACGACCCCCTCTTTTGAAAACCAATTTTAGAAGGCAAACAATTTTTTCCATAAACTTTGCGTTGGTGTTGAAGAAAACCTGTAGGAGAGACCATCAAAACTCAAATTTATTTTTTACACATAATTATATCAGTAGGGAAAATTTTTATTGATGCTAAAGTTTATTCATCGATCCGGTTTTTATGACGGCAACACAAGTGGCTTTTCCGTACTAAGAAAATGACCCTGACTGAAATTGAAATCATTTGCGAAAAGTCATGTACCTTCGAAACATTTGGAAGTTAATGGTTGTTCCCCCTAAAAACGATCATTTTACTGTGGAACAGAGTAGTCGCTCCTAAGAGGTTTCACTGTATATATATATATATATATATATAGCACAGTAAAGACAAAAAGAAAAGAGAGAAAAATAAAGAAAATTAATAAGTTTTATTAACTACACTTAAGCTGCAAATATATAGAAATCATAAAATAAGTTAAAATATCGAGAAAACATGGAAAATAATAAAGATTATTGAAAAGAGAAGAATAAAATTTATTAACAAATAAATATTTTTAAAATTTAATTCTTTTAAAAAAATTATTAAAGAGCCTGTCTGGTTTTTTAATATTTTTTTATTAAATAAATGAAAAAAATTTGTAAGTGCTTTTAAATAAATTTTTTTCTTCTCTTTTCATTAATCTATATTATTTTCCATGTTATCTGTATATTTTAACTCAGAGAAAATATGTAAAATATTAAAGATTAATCGAAAGAGAAGGAAAAAAAATTGTTAAAACAAAATATTTAAAGAAATATATATACATTGAAAAGCAAGAAAATAAAAGATATAATCTCTTCATCAGCTCGCACTATATCACGACTAAGTGGAAAAGAAGTGCTTTCTAATATTGTATCAATATAGCCAAAGTAAAATATATCAGCAGCACTAAAAAAAAAATGAAACAAAATAGAACGCATTTAGTAAAAAATATATCATGAAAAAAAAAAAACAGAAAATAAAGTGTAAATAAAAAACAGAACACAAAACGAAATCGATAAAGCGAATTCAAATGAATTTACATGTATGGAAAACTTTCAAGAATGTTTCAAAATATTTTCTTAATAAGATTGCCAGATTTCAAAATACGAAAACAGGAGGGCAAATGGAGCTATAATCGTAAATAGAGGAATTTTGTTTTTTGGCGCTTTCCTTCTGCAATACTGAAGCGTGTTTGATTCTTTACTTACCAAGGTTTGGTAATGCCCAAAAATGAATGAGCGCAAGGTAATATTATATTGGATAATTTAAAGAAGTTCATAATAAGATTGATGTTTAATTATACAATTTTAATGATTTTAGAAAATCAACATTTATTTAAAAACGACAAAGAGCGAGAGAGAGAAACATGATCTGCCCACTTTGCACAGATTTATAGCCATGGATTTGCACATGGTAAAAATAAAGATTAACAAAGAGGCTTTTAGTAAATTTATTAATAATAACATACAATTAACTCAGTAATTTTGTATAGAATTTAATTACTCTAGTTAGGCATTGTAGGGGAAGGCTTGGTTTATTTGTATTTCTACCAATTCACATAAATAATGAAAGACTAGAAATTATCTAACTCTAAATATTTATTGAAAAGGACAAAACACATAAAAATAAAACAAGGATAAAAAAAATACAAGAATTTGGAAGAGGGGTTTTGGGCTCGAATTAAACGGCAGTACTTTACGGCGGTTCTTGGCAGACTGTCTTAGTTCACCGCCAGAGGCGCTGTAGTGGGAGAAAGAGGAAAGCTTGTCACAGCATCCATTTTTTAAAATTTTTTTAATCAAATTTTGAAAGAGTTTGTCTATTTCTTTTTTTGGATAAATAAGCATCACAACATGTTCTTTTAATCCTATTCATTTGATTAAAAATGGTATTTAAATAGATGTTTTTAAAAACATTAGAATTCTAAGTAATTACCAGGGCTCGAAAAACCGCCCGTCCTCTGCGGTCAAAAATTCCCCGCGCACAACAAATTTCTCGAATCCGACGTCCGCGCGGACCAGTGGCGTAGCGAGGGGGGAGCAAGGGGGGGCATCATGCCCCGGGCGCAACTCACAAAGGGGCGCCAAATGGTCAACAAAACAAAATTGTTGGATAATTTTTATTTTTATTATAATTTATTTCTGGAAAATATATTTTAAATTTAGTGCCAGTGAAATATAATAAATGTTAATTCGTAAATAAAAAGGAACACTAATCAAACTGTAATAATATATTAATAATAGAAATGACACGTCTTTTCTAATGGCAGGGCTGACTCGACCTGTGTCTGTCAGCACTTCCTTATGGCATCTACGCTGTGTGGTTACATATATTATCTCCAAATATTTGCAGGGTGCTCCAATTCTGTTGCGAAATATACTAACTTTTAGTTTCATAACTTCAGTTCATTTCTGATATGAAATCTTAAGGAGGAATGATCGTGTGCAGCTCAGATTACAAGATCCTAGAATGAAT